AGTCTATGGATTTTCACTTTCTAGTGTCTTAAACAGAGTCAGGGTTTACGCTGGCGGCACATACCTATCCGGGAAAAGCGCTTATTCCATATTTGGAGAGTTGTCATAGGATCGAGGCTCACTCTTGACGGCCATCTTGTAATTTATGCAACTGTGAAAGCACTTATAAGCTGTTATTAAGAAAAAAACCTATGAAATGAGTGACCTTGAAGACCGATCTAGAAGCTCCAAAAAGAGAGGTCCTTATTTACAATACTTGGCCGACCAAAATTTTAAAATTCCGAAGGTTTCRCAGTGGAGAAGACAACAAAGACACGWCAACAATTCTCGCGAAGATGGTCTTTCGTTACGAGAAGAAGAAAGTTTTGAAGAAGRAGTCACCTCTCTTTTGGACGAAACAGATGGCGCTATAAGTCCACYAGCATCTGATGGAGCTACTGGTTGTGTGCCTGCTGGAGGGGATTTACTTGAGCCTGAAGACCCTGCTATAGGTGGGCGCCCATGTTTACGTTTTAGCTAATTTGCATAAAAGTGACAGAAATCGAATTTCAAGACACAAGAAAATCAAGGCCATAAATGAAAAGAACTCATACCTGTTAAGAATTCATGCAAATTTGTAGGAAATTGGTTAAATATTTCAAGAGATATCAAGTGCCAAATTTGCAAAATTTTCTAAAGAAATGACCGTGTTGGCATTATTTTGCCAACCACTGAATGTTTTCTATAGCTTTTGTAGTTTTGAAATGCCGATATCTCGAAATGTTAAATGGCGTTTGCCTTAAMATTTTCAGGTTTTGTTGACATTAATACAATCTTGAATTATATGAGTTCAGATTTTATATTTCGGATGTAARCAAACTACATCATCGTACGCCCACCTATTTCAGAATTCCACCAGTTGTATGACACCTTTGCAGATGATGATGAAGAATTAAGCGTAMATGCTGAACAAGAAGAGGAAGAATCAGAAGATGAAGATGATAAAATAGGTAACTTAAAATTATTTCTATATTTCATTCAAATCATTATTAGTAATGTATACAGAATGAGAGAGCGTGTTGTATCGGGTGATAAAGATCTGAGCCGAAGGCGAGGATCTTTAGCCCCGATACAACATGCTCTTGAGTTCTGTATACGGCTTATCAAACTTTATAATAATTCACATTATAATGTTTTTGAAAAATTGATCGAATCTCTTGGTGCATTCATTGATTGTCAGAGGTARCGTATGTCGCCGTTATTAAATATTCATCAAATATAACTGTTTGTATGGTGCCATTGTTTCATGAAACGACTGAATTATCAAGGGAATTTCTAATTGATTGATTGAAAGTTTGATTTTGCAGATGAAGCTTTTATTACTTACTTACATTGATTTTTCAGTGTGTTTTTTGACTTTGATTGCACGCGAGTTTAGACATTTTGAATATTTTCAGGGGAGTGTGGGGCTGATTATCATCAATGATACAGAACTAATGTTTTATTAATTAGGTCTGTATMAGGAAAACGTTGAATAATAATCAGCCCCGCASTCCCCTGAAAATATTCAAAGCCGCCCCCAACTTTGAGGTTGCTGCACGTTTTATCCAATATAAAGGTATAGTCACGTGATTAGATTCTCAGTATATCATTGGCTAATGACATTATGAATTATTAATGAGTTTGATATTATTGCTTAAAGTAGTTTATTTTTCGCACTGTTTGATGATGATGATTA